TTTCCCACTCTTGTGTTGAATTACAAGAGAGGAGAATTTCATCATCCACCATGTATGGAGCAAAACACAGTCTCAAGGAATACAAAATTCAGTCTCAGCAAAGAAACAAGTGAAACACAAAGCAAATGGCATCCAAAGCCACAGCAATCAGCACTAACTGGAGTAGCAGGGAGCACTCAGTGCCAGGCTCTTCTTTCACCTGTGGAGCACAGTTAGTTAATCCTTTAGTCACAGCCCCACAGTGACTCAGGGGACCCAACATTAATTCTGTTTTTTTTCACTGCACACTTCCTGATATGTGACAGCATTTACAGCACTTGATTTTCTTCCACATCCTGTTATGCTTGTTCATAGGCGAAGGAGCCACACTGGTTTCTCACCTCTCAAACATTCAGTTTCCAGAAGCAGAGGGGATAGAGAAGCAAGAGCAAGATCCAGGATTCGTAATTACTTGGGCACTCTCTGCCTAGGCACAGGCAATGTTACAGCGCATGTGAGGGGAGGCTGTGCTGACAGGCAGAACACACAATAAAGCCCTGAACACTCTCCATACAGAGGTACAAACACCTCCATGACACTGCCTCTGCTCCTAAGAATTGCAACATCAGCACAAGAACATGATTCCCTCTGGCTTCTGGTTTTGGAGAAAGTAAGTTGACTGAGGAGCAGCCTCGGCTCAACCACTGCACAGAAAAAAAGCAAACACCCAACAGTGGTGACGGGTCCTTCTTCCCACTAATTAAACAAGACCCACAACACTGGAATGCTCTTATGATACAGATTTCCCTTCAGCATTCTTCAGCTGACAAAAGCGCAAAGGTTATCAATGGTTTGCAAACAAGAGATTTCTAGCATGGATTTCCCAAAGAGTTTTAATTCCTAGCAAAGTGTACAACAAAATGGAATGAGGGGGGAAGAAAAGAAAAAAAAAATTATGGCAGGAACACTACAAATAGAAAACAGGTCTCCAACATTTCCTCAGAAAGGTTAAATAATTAAAAAGAAAGTCTAGAACTTTCAAAGCACTAAAATTAGTGCCACCAACATACCACGCTCAGTTTCAGCTATCGTAAAAGCTGGTTTGAAGGTCATCAACATTGCATTTGGTCCTACATGGTGCAGTCAGAAACTTCTAACACAGGACAATCCAGTGTTTAATAATGTGAATGGGATTTAGTTGCAATATTCTAACCAATAATTCTAACTGAAGATTTTGGTATGCTTTTCTGAATAATTAACACCTTACCTCTAACACAGGAACCTTCACTGAAATAATTTTCTTTACAGTTTTTCCAACCTTTGATCATCAGCCTCTAGCAGTTGAATGGTGAAGCTGAAAAACTCTGCAGTACTTTACTAATTGTTACTGTTTACACATGCTGAAAGTGGAATTTGTACTGTGAGGGCAGGCACAGCTGCCAGCTGCAGTCCACAAAAGAACTATTTAATAATACAGCCCACTTAGCAATGATAAGAGCCAGTGTTTTTAATTCACTCTCCCTGTCATAAATGTGAAATTACAGAATGATTGGTACTGTAATTGGAAGTTCTCCTGCATTTCATAATAATTATTGAAGACACTGTCAGTCATTTGATTTAAGTAATATATCCCAATTTTTTTTCTATATATCTGTTAAATACAGCATTAAAATACCAAAATAAAAAATACACACTGGGTAATGGGAAGCTCTTTCCAGGAGGGTTTGGGACAGCTCATCATTTTGCTCTCCAGCTCATCATTTCCTGCTGCCAGGAAATGTACATAATATTTTGTAAAGCTTTTTTTCCCAGTGAACATTTCTTGTGTAACTTAGCACAACCAGTGTGGCATTGGACAACTGGAGGGAAAGTTACTTCCATCCACATGTGGACAGAGTCAATAATGATGCACCCCAAAGCATTAAAAATAGCAAGAAAAGCTTCAGTTTATTTATAGTTTAATGTTAAGAAAATAATGTTTCTAGTAACATCATCTGCCTCACTCAGCTGCTACCTGGCAATGTGGACACAAAGTGAAAGAACTTTACATAGATGAACACCCCACAAGCCAGATGAGTAAGAATACAGGAACACCAACACACTGAAAGCCCTCCCAACAAATGGCTCCTCTAAATGCACCCTCCAGCCCAGAGCAGAGCCCTCCACAACCTGAAGCCAACAACCCCTGCATTCCTGCAGATCCCTGCACTGGACAGCCAAGGCTACCAACCAGAACCTGAATCCACACCCAAAAATCTCCCCGAAAAAACAACCAAACAAAACCAAACAACAACAACAACAAAACCACCCAAGAGGGAAAGTTGCTTGCAGGATTGAGGCCAAACAGTGCTACTTGGCCTGTTCGTTGACAGCTTTGCAGTCTTGACACATATGGAAGAGCCAAACTTTGCTCTCCCCTTTCCACACCTGAGGAACTCAAAGGAAAATGTTCATTGCAATTATGCACATAGTGAGTGCTCTTTACATCATGAGAAGCCATGAATGTTTAAGACTTCCTCATTTGGGAGCACAAAGTTTTAAATCAGAAAAAAACTGAGTTGTGTGGATTTTTCTCAAAACATTATTTAAGTCTCCACTGCTTCATCATCTTCCAGAGCATCTACATGTTTATATTGTTTCCATGCCTTTAAATTACATTGTTTGAGAATGGCTCCTAGTTGATTCCCGGGCCCCACTTCATATGTGTAAGGAAATTCTGTTCCTTGCTTTCTTTCGTACACTGAATGCATGGTCTGCTCCCACAGAACAGGTGACACCACCTGCTTCACTAACAGCTTCTGAATGTGCTTTGAGTGCATGTACTTTTTGCCATCGACATTGGAATACACACAGAGCAGCGGTTTCTGAATTTCAATTGATTTTAGGACTTCAGCCAGTGGCTCTACTGCTGGTTCCATAAGTCTGGTATGAAAAGCCCCACTGACTGGAAGCATTTTTGTACGTTTAAAATAATATTTTCGGGCATTCTCCTGCAAAAACTCCAAAGCCTATAAAAGAAAGAGAGAAGTGAGTCTTGCACAACAAAGGTTTTCTCAGTCACCCCACAAGAATCACCTCATCAGACTTACTGTGATACAGGGATTCCCTTTATCAGTTGTTCCCTACCCAACAACTGAATGCATGCTGGAAAAAAACCCCCCACAGATCAAATACTTTTGTCTGGACAAACTAAGGCCATACGTAACACCCACACAGAAGTGCAAAGTAAGTTTTTAAAAAGTGAAATGCTCAGTTCAACGGAAGGAGTAGTTACTCTGAAGCAATACCTGTAAGTGTCCTGCAATGACTCTGCTGTCTGGAAACAAATAGTTTGAAACTGTGCACACGGGGTTCTCTATACCCAGCGATTCACAGTGTTTACGGGCTTCCAGGCAGGCAAATTTGTAATTTGCCTCTCGCCGGCCGACAACCGAGAGCATTCCACTGGGGACAGCTTCTGACGCCTTTTGCATGGCTTCGGCGCGCACTTTCACCGCGTACAGCGCTACGGAGAGAAACAGAGATGCTGCGTAAATATGAGCGTGGGCACCTGCGCGCAAGAAAGGGCAGTTGTTCACTCGTTGTGAAACGTCAATGCTTTTAATGCCGTATTACACACGTTAAAGCAAACAGCCGAAGTAAAATTTATCCTCTAATTAAAAATAAAAGCAGGAGGGACACAGTGATAATAACAGGCAACACTTTGGAAACAGCACGGGCCCGGGCTGGGAGATCCTAGCAGGGAGTTCCGCATGTCCCCCAGGCACCTTCGGCAAAGCCCAGGGCTCCAGCGAAGACCAGGGCCGCGAACTCCCCCACGCTGTAGCCGGCGGCCGCCACGCAGCGCTCCACGACCTGCGGGGACACAGAGCCGAGCACTGCCTCAGCAGCACCGCGGGGCAGGCCCGAGGGGCCAGCGCCCCGACCCCCCACGCCCAACGCGGCCCCTCACTTCAGGCTGCAGGTGGTTGAGCTTCTCCACGGCGGCCAGGGAGGCGACGAACACGGCGGGCTGGCAGTGCTGGGTGCGGTCCAGCGCGTCCCGCGGCCCCTCCAGGCAGAGGGAGAGCAGGTCGTAGCCCAGCACCTTCTCGGCCAGGCGGTACATGTCCCGCACGCCGGGATACTGCTGCAGCCCGCGGCACATCCCCACGAACTGGCTGCCCTGGCCGGGGAAGAGCAGCACCGTGCCCTCCCGGGGGCACCGCCGCTCCCGCCTCGCCGCCGCCGCGCCCGGCTCCTCGGCCTCCACCGAGCTCTGCAGGAGGTCGCTCAGGGTCGCCGCCCGGTCCCCAGCGCCGGGGCGGGAGCTGCCCCACCGCCGCGCAGCGCCGCGGAGGCCGCCGCGCCCGCTGCAGCCACCAAGCCGCCATGGCGCCGCGGCCCAGCCGCCCATGTCCGCCGCCCGGGAACGGGCGTTGCCACGGGAACGGGGCGGCCCCCCCCGGCAGCCGCTGCCGGGCCGGGCGCCGGCAAAGGGGACGGGAAGAGAGGGAGAGAGGGAGGGAGAGAGGGAGGGAGGGAGGGAACGAGGGAGATCGGTCGGGCCGCCCCGGCGCTCGCCGCCCTCAGCCTCGCGAGCCGCCCTGGGCCCGACCCGCGCCAGGCGCCTCCGCCCGCCCAGCACCGAAAGCCCGCCCCGGAGCGTGCAGCCCCAGGGGCGGTGCTTGGCTGTCCGGGCAGAGCCGGAGCGACTGGCGGCAGCAGCAGCGCGGCACGGGAGGAGGTAACGCCGGCCCTGCCCGCGGCACGGCTCGGGACGGGACGGGACGGGACGGGACGGGACGCTGCTCACCAGAGGGGCCTCCCGCCCCCGCGAGGGTCCTGGCGCTCCCGGAGCGCTGCCGCCGCCGGGACCCCGCCGCGCCCCGGGCTCCCTCGGCTCCCCCGCGGGTCGGCGGAGAGGATTGAGGGAGCGATCCCGCTTCCTGCTTCTGGCGACAGCCCCGTGTCGGCCAGCCGGGATCCCCCGGGCAGGACGGGAGCTACGATGCCGGATGGAGACGGGCGGGGCGGGCCCCGCTCACGGGCGGACAGGTCTTGGGCAAACACTCATGGCTTTTCCGTGCTGGCGTTTAGCATGGAAAGTGCTTTAAAATAAACAAACCAAACCACCAAGCTATGAAGCTTGTTCTTAATTTTGATCCGGCACACGAGCTTTTCAGTGGTTCAGCTTTTCAGACACCGCAGAAGGGCAGAACCTGTTCCTCTGGTCTCACCGCGCACATTCGCTCTCGACACTCGGGAGAAGTTTTCACGCTGCTATTTAACTAAAGGTGTATCTTCCTTCACTGTCGCCGAGGAACATTTCTTTAAGGGTGAAAGAAAGGGCTTTGGTTTTCAATTCCGAGTTTTTCAGTGATACTTATAAGTCAGCCCAAAATGCACTGTGATATAATAGGAGCGTTCAACGCCAAGATTAATTTTTTTTTTAAAGCGAAAGTTGGCGTGCCGGAGTTTGCAATTGTGTAACGACTTTGCATGAAGGAAAGGTTGTGAAACAGTATCAGGCATTGAGTCAGAGCAGCTCAGTAAAACAGACTGTTAAGTACGGCTTGGGAGAAGGAAAATGTGTCATAATAGCAGGAAATTATGTTGATTTTTTATTTTTCTCACTTTTCTATTCTCTGTGCTATTTTGTAAGATGATTTCTTCCATTTGTGTCAGCCTCTAGGTAAAATATCTGGAAGTGAGCTGCTCAAGTTAGCTGAAATGTATGGGCAGTAACATAGGAGATATATGACATATATGTGACCATATCCCAACCCGTGGCTGCCTCTACCTGTAACAAGCATCAATGAGAAGAGATTGAGAGTAAATGACAAATTCTCCCGGCAAAAATCTTGCTCCAGTATGCACTTCAGTTCCCTGTATGTGAATAAACCATAGATTTATTTGCACAACTTGTGCTCTGCCATGTTGAAATCTCACTGGGGAGTGAGATTTTTTTGTTTTCATCTGTACACTTTGCATTATAGTCTTCAATAAATACAATATTTAAAAAAATTATAAATACATATTATAAACATATATTATACACTTATTATATATTTATATTCTATTTCTATCCTATAACATTTATTGTTTGAAGTGTCTCTATTACTTGAGATTAGATAGCCTGCTTTTTTTTTGTGGTAGCTGTATTTTTTTGTCATAGGCTGTGATATAAATTTGATTTTAGTGTTGCAACTTCCCAAGAATTAAACCCACAACACACATAAATAGTTTATCAATATAAATTATGTTGTCTTTAATTTTTCAGACAGCTATCTTGGGAAGAAGCCTTCTTCCAGGGGAAAATTTGCATGGTGCCTCTCAGACCTGGGCAGAGCCTTATTTGCCCTTAAAAAAAATGTATGGTAGAGGATGAGAGGTAGAGTATCTGTCTTGGGGACCCCCTTCCATGGTATGGTCCCAGCTTTGTCAGTCTGTCTCCAAACACTGGGCACTGGGAACCCCCAGGGCTGCCAGGGTGATTTAGCCCTGCTGGGAGATGTGTTTTTAATGCAATTTTTAAGCCACAGGTGATTGGGTAGCCAGTCCCAAGCTGCACAGAATGGAACTAATCAGAAGTTTTATCAGCACAGGGCTATAAGAAAATGGGATGAAAGCAGTTCTCCTTTCCTACCTTCTTTCTCCTTCCTGCTGACAGAATGCCCAGAGGAGGGAAAGGCACCTGTCTTTCAGAGACCTCCTCAAGGCAAGGAAGTGCTTCAGTTCATTTTCATCAGGCTGAAGCAACCCAGCTGCTCTGTCATGATATATCTAACCCCACCTACAGAGCAGCCTATCCCTTTCTTTGGATGCACAGTATTTTTTTCCAGAAAGAGGAAAGCTTCTGGTAGTTTTTTCTTCATGTTATGCCACCATAGAAAAACAGCAGAGAGAAGTCCATTAGGCAGCAAGTTTAACTACTGCAGTTTTTTTCCCCTTTATTTCTCCTTTTACTTTATGTAGCTGGAACTAACTTTGGGCAAGTCAGATATTTTGAATACCTAGAATAATTACTCTAATATGTATGTAAAGCAAAGAAGCCCTCACTACACTGCTGCAACTGCCTGATGTCACACTAGGGCTAAACAGAAAAGGGGCAGCATGATGAAGAATATGTTGCAGGGCAGAGATACGAAGTGGAAAAGAAGTAAACAAGTTAAGTGTGTATGAGAAGAAAATATTTCCAACCTTAATGGTTCTTAGAGGCAGATATCTGCTGGGTACATTGCAGATATCATTCACAGACATCCAGCATTCTTCAGTATGAAAATAAGGGTGCAAGAATATTGTGCAACACACCCTGGAGCTGGGATATGATTGGGAAAGTAGTTATTTTTTCTAGGTTGAGTAATGCTGCTGCAGCCAGTGGGGCTGTGTTAGCAAGTCTGTGGTGTTTAAGTTCTCACCGATTCATTTCAGATCATCAGCTGTACACTGAAAGGAAGGCAGGGCTGATGAACCTCTGTGCTCACATTACCTTTAGAAAATGTACAGGGTGTTCTGTAAACATTGCACAGCTCTTTTACTGCACAGGTAAACAAAGACTGAAGCACTGGCCAGTGCACTGACTCTCCAGTGCATCTTGCCTTTTACTCATTCTCTTGCTAAAGACTTACATCAGGTAACCAGACACAGACAGACGTGGCTTCTTCCATGCTACTTTCTGAGTTGCCTGTGCTTTTTTATGGAAAGTTGGTACCAGTATTTAATTTATTGGGAATGAAAACATAGAAACTCCCACTGCTAATGGACAGCTGTGGTCTTGCTGCCAGCACACTTTGCTGCATGGTTTCATTCCTCCTTTTCCTTGCAAGATAGAGTATTTATTCACTAATTTATTCACTATTTATATTCACTATTTATTTATTCACTAATGACTGCCACAGAGCAGTATTGTTTCAATTTTATAGTACTTAGCACTTTTAGCTTACAGAACACTTTCAGACTTTGTTCCCTGGGAGGAAGTTGACAGAACCCCTGACAAAGTCTGTTGCTGAACGCTGTGAAGAGACCACCCTTATATTGTTAACATCCAAATAAATGATTAAAGCCCTTTGGGTTCTTGCTTATCACTTTTGAAAAAATAGTATTTGGCAGCCACTCTGGAGTTGCATGTATCACAGCATGTGTAGAAAGCTAAGCCTGGCCTCCCTGTAGGCAAAGCAAAAGAGTTAAAAATTAGTGAGATCTTATTAACTTTCAAATTCTAACTTAACCTTTGGGAATTACTCATCTGAAGGCAGCTAAAGAGAATCATTGTGCTCGGCGCTCTTGTTCCCATCACACCTTGTTGCTCCTACACATGGCACTTGCTTCACATTCCAGTAAAAGCAGAGACTTTCACACTGTCAGTGGGGATGACAAATAGTGCACACAGCAGCGCAGCCTGCTTCCTTGGGAAATAACAGCACAGATCTAAGTGCAGGAGAACAGGGGAACTCTGCTCTACTTAAGATGCTTCCTCATAAGTGGAATCCACTAGGCAGAAGTATGGCAGCAATGAGCCTGCAGATTTTTCCTCCCTCCCTTGTCCATCCCCCACCTAAGACCCAGTTGGTCCTATCACAGCAGATTACCACATTGTCGTCCCCTTCCTCCTTCTCCCCAGCCTCAGTTCTGAATCCTTCCCTGTTTGTCTCTTTTCACCCATTCAGTCTTTTGTTCAGTTTTTGACCTTGACTTGTGTCTCTGATGGCTTCGTCTGCTGCCTTTTTTGTGTATATTTCTATTCATTGCATATTTCTATTCATTCTCCCCCCAAGCCCAGGCCTACCTGCCCTTTCTCAACCTGTGTGCCTTTCCAGTCTCTCCATGCTCAGTTTGCCTTCAAAACTCTGCTCTGCTTCTATCATCAGGATTTCTCTCCATCCCATGCAACCTGCATTGTGGTTCCAGCCATTGAAATCTCACATTAAATCTGTGTGGGCAGAGCCCTGAGTGCAGGGACAAAAACCATAATGGAAAGACCTTTCTTGCTGCCCAAGCTTACCCTGATCTCCAAACAGAAATTCACCAGGTCAGAGCTGTGACAATGCAACCTCATCTGTGCCATATCCTCTCGGTTTAAGCACATCTGTCACAAGTAGGATTTCCTCTTCCCCACTTCCTGCCTCCTCATCCCAGCAGTCATGGCTAAAGCAACAGAAGCTTTGAAATCCAGGGAAACATAACAGCCAAGACAGTATGAATATGGCACTTTTCTCTGACAAGCTTCTGAAATGCTCATTGATCTAAAACTTTATTTTCTCTCCTGTGCCTTCTGCAGTTGCTCTTTCCTCACTGCTGCAGTCTCTCATAATCTCTCTACTGCATAACAGATGAACAGGAATTGGGTGTATTTGCCGACTATATATGTGAAAAAATATCTTTCAGTTCTGCCCTTTTTATTTATTGTAGCTCTAATGTTTACATTTCAGTAAACTAAGCACAGCTCTTCTGTAGCATTTGGCCTTTGGCCAGAAAATCTGCAATGAAGCTTTTTCCTTCTTGCTTACTTGATGGTTTTCCTGCTGCCTGTGCCCTAACTAAAGCAGCATGGCCCAGCAGAGCAAAGCATTACTTAGCCCTACTTCTGTAGGCAAATTTAATAGGCTTGGCAGCTACAATTGCTGCAACCGATTGAATGCTTCATGAGGGAGCCAAAGGTGTACTCCCCATGTATCCAGATCACCTTCCTTGTTTAGCAAAACATCAGTTAAGTACTTACCTTCTCATTGTCCTCCCTGGTGTTTGTGTTCCAAGGCAGCTTCTCAAGTGTCTGCTACTATTCACATCCTTCTGGCTCCCACTGAGCATCCTGCAGACGACATCTCACATTATTTTGCTTGAGCACAGGAAAGCACATGCTCTTTTTTTCCTTGGCTCTCCCACTTCAATAAGGGAATGGGCTTTTTGATGAATACAGAAATACACACTTCATACTGCATTTATTTATTTTCCAAGTGGAGTTCATATAACATCAAACTGCTTATTTCTCTGCCATACTTATTGGTGAGGATATTTCTGTAGGTAAAATTCAGTAATCTTCATGCACTTAGCTGAGAGAGAAGTAAAGGCCTCACTTCCCTCTGGCTCCCCCCTCCCCAGGGACAGATTCCTTTACAGGTACAGGTAAGATTACGGTACAAGATCCATTAATTTCAGCTTCAGTCTCTCTCAGTGACAACACTAGGCTGTGGATCAGATCTGACATGCCTATTTTTAAAATCCGTTAGAAATGGAAACTTTTGCAGTTGCATTTTAAGTGTTCTCTACCAATCAGTGTTTGGTTTTATTTCAGGTTCACTGTCTCAATGGAAGTGGTACCAGCCTGGGCCCCAGCAGTAGGTTTCACACTCCTGCCACATGCAGGAGGATTTTTAGGAAGCAGTATAACCAAAAGGGAAATCCCAACATGGTATCAAACTCTACAGAAGCCATCCTGGTGTCCACCTAACTGGGTGTTTGCTCCTGTTTGGGGAACTCTCTATACATCTATGGGGTATGTTTTTCACATTGTATTAAGGCACTGGCCTGACCTCTAAGTTCCATCTGGTATAATGCTGGACCAGAGGATATGACTGTACTCCTGTGGCTGTATGTTTGTCAGAAACTGTGTCAACCTGCCTCTTTAACAGGTAAAAACTTGTTTTGGGAGTCATGTGTGGGTTTGATAGGACATTTTGTATGCAGAAGTATCTGCATCAAAAGCAGGAGCTTGAAAAGCTGCCATTAATTTGCTTTCCTCATTCATTCTGAGGGGAAGACCTGCCAAGCTGGAAACAGCAGAGCAAGGCAGCACTGGGATTTCTTCTAAGCATATTCTTCAGTAGTTTCAAGAAAATTTAAAAAAAGGGGTGGGGGAAATTAGGACATAACTGATCTAACAGAGCTTAATAATGGAATGGATGAAACTGAATGCTAGACTGGCACTCCCATGTTCGCTCATTTTGGTTTCATTTTCTTTCCAGAAAAGCTTTGTAATTTTTATAGCCTCATGTCCTATCCCTTCCCACCAGACTTCTCTTTTCCTTCTCCTCATACAGATTGTACTTTTAAACTTATTTAAGTAGAATACTTTTGTATTTGAGGAGTTAACATTTGAATGAGATCATTACTGATCTGTGAATAAAAATATGCCTTTTATCAAGGAGAAGAGAGGTGGGTGGCTTTCCCAACTTCCTGCAAGTTGATTGCAGAATCTGTAACCCTGTGTCTGGACTCCTCACCACAAAGCTGGGTAGCAGGTTAAATACTTTAAAGTCCAGATTGTGACAGTTTATAACTTATTTTGGTAGTAGCAGAATCAGTGTATCCTAAGGTGGATGGTCTTGCTTATGTGTTATACATTCAGCCCAATGAAAAGATCATACTCACTACCAGCCTTCCCTAATCCACCATGTACACACATTCCTTGAATGACCAAGACATTTCATTCCTCCAGAGTCTCTTAAATAAAGCAACAAATAACTAACAGCAAGATTTAATAAGCTTACCTGTCTTTCTTGACACAGCTTCATAGATTTGTACATCACAGTATTGGTCTGAAGTTGAAGTCAGGTGTATGAACAAGTTGAAGTCCACACTGTGCTTTGGAAATCACTTAGGAAACTGAAGGTTCTAATGCTTAACCTGCCCCAACTTTATTCTGTTTTTATTATTCTCTGCAATCAAACTGCCAAAATAGCAAAGCTGCATTGTTCAGTCCCTGTGAAAGTAATGAAAGTGACCAAAGGGTTCTTCCTGCTCCCCATACTGAACTTTGCTTTGGGATCCCACTCAATACCATTCATTTTTTTTAATGGTAATTGATTTCTTACATCTACTTAAAAACTGGGGTTGGATTTATTTTAAAAAAATCTTTAAAGCACCATGTCCCAATATAAAAACAAAGTTTCTTCACCGTTTGCATCTTAGACTTGTTTCCATTTCAACACAGTATTCTTTTTAAAAACAAATGCAGTAGGTTATCTGCTTCTATGCACTTTAAAGTAGGAATTCTGGCATGATTGAAATTTTTCTCTCTCCATGTTGTTATCCAGAGCAGCTGATCAAGCCTGTGCTGTCAGTTACTTTGCCGAGTAGGACTTAGATCTCTCAATCTTCCAAGTTAATCTAGACTCTGGCACTGAACTTATTTCATGGATCAAGAATGTGTGGTAGCTTTAAACAGTGTAGTGAATGACACATCCCTTTTGCTTTCTGCAGATATGGCTCCTACCTTGTGTGGAAGGAACTGGGGGGCTTCAATGAAAAGTCAGTGGTTCCTCTGGGTCTGTATGCAGGGAACCTGGCATTAAACTGGGCATGGACTCCAATATTTTTTGGAGCTCACAAAATGGGATGGGTAAGTGGAACACTTAAGGTATTAGCATGAAAGGTCTGTGTCATCATCTTTTCTCCCTGAAAATGGGCCTGAATACAAAACATGGCTTGCAGAACTTTTCTAAAATTCTCCTTAATGCATGCCAGCAGCGACCTGAGAGAATTTACAGAACTAGACCATCCTTAAATTGATAAGATTTCAAGCAGCTCTCTGCCAGCCTTTGATAAGAGCTTTGTGTGACTATAAAACAAACATTTATACCTTATTGCAATTCCTAGGTTTCTCTGGCAAACAGCAGTGATAAGCAGCTTATTACATTTTTCAGGTGATCAACACCCCTTTTAGAAAAGATTCATTTTCTGCAGCTCTCTGAAGAGAAACCACTCAATTCTCAAAATAAGAATTGGTAATACAAAAAATAAAATAGCAGTACATGCAATGCTCTAACAGAGAAAGACTCTGCAATCCATCACAGATTCATTCACATCTCATCTCTTCAGGTGACATGAACAAACTGGACAGGTTTGCTTGCTCCAATTTACTCTGGGAAGTGTCTCACTGCCCACTAAAGAGGGTATGGGTGAGAGAGACTTCATTCTCCCTCTCTGCTCCTAGCTGTAATGCCCTTTCTTGTATGGTTTTAGACTCAAAGTGGTTTGTAACTCAGCAGAAATCTATAATCTTTTTCTGCTGGCTGGTTTTCTGAGAAGGATTTAACACACAGAGGGATAGAATAGGTGCCAGAGCTAGGGGGAAAGTACACATAGGAAATACAACAAGTAAAACAACACTAATCACCTTCTGTGTTTCAGGGGTTGGTGACTCTCCTGCTTACAACTGGTACAGCAACAGCTACCACTGCTTCCTGGTACAACATCAACAAAACAGCAGCTTATTTGATGGTTCCTTATTTAGCTTGGCTAAGCTTGGCTTCTGCACTCAATTATCAGATCTGGAAGGACAATCGCAACAAGAAAGACTCTGAATAAGCAGTTTTCAGCCAAAACTATATTTTTTCCACAATAATTTTTTATATAAAGTTATGGCCTTAGTTTAGTTTTAGCTGAACTACTTCTGCCCTAACTTTGGTATTTACAAGTTGACAAAACAAATACAATTTTACTATGCAAGCCACAAAGGGGTGTATGCCTGACTGGGTTTTATAGCAAACTAAAAGAAAGTCTTGATTGAAAAGTGGTAAGTGCCATATTCCAGTATTATATGTTACATGACAACAGCATTGTAACCATTACCAGAAGAAAGCAGGGACTCAAACTTCCTTATGTTCAGAGGAAGAAATCCAACCACACACTAACAGTTCCAGAACGGTGTTCCTAACAGTGACAGGGATGATTGTGGCCTGAATCTTTCATATTTACCACTAGGCATAGTGCTTTTATGCTATGTCTCACTACAGCCACAGATATTTGTCTTCTGGCCACTATACTCTGAAAATGTTTAAGACAAGCTCTTTTTAACAATTTGTGCCTTCCCACTTGGAAGAACTGTACGTGCATTCAGCTAAATGCATTAAACTACATGTAAACTTAATAACGTTGTTCCTTGTTCCTTGCTGGTATTGTTTTAAATTGTTTTGAGCAGAAAAACACTGAAAGCAGCAGGATGCTACAGCCTCAAATACAACCCCTTCTCATCTCCTCACCTTTGCAATGGCCAAGATAAACCAGGAAATTCAGAGCACCTGTAAAGAAATTGTGAGAACCCAGTCACAACATTTCTTTGATCAAATTTAAGTAAGGAGCCCAAACCATTTTGGATTCCCCTGAGCAGCAGGCCAGCTTGGTGTGAGCATCACTTCTGGCTGTGCAACCCCGCTCTCCCTTCTGCCTCACCTCTACAGCAACTGGATTTTCCCAAGTTTATTTCTCCAGCCTATGCTCCAGTCAGTGGAACAAAGCAGGTTCCTGCTGACCAGCCTGAAATAGCCTCAAATATTCCTTTATGTTCCTGATTGTGAGGGACAACGTTGCTGCATGTTTGCAAAGCTGGAAGCAAGGTTTAGAACGCACAATTTTATAATTGTACTTTCCTCTCAAGCACATCCTAATTGTTGCAAACTAGCTTAAATAATTACTACCCATACAATATATATGTCGTGGCAGGCAGAATTTTTTGCAGCTTGCACATAAAATAGCTAAATTTCAGCCAAGTGGCCTTGATTTGAGGAAAGATTAGGAAAGATTTCAAATGGGCACCCCACTGCCAAATACCTCTCTCTTAGGCCCTAAAAGTCCAAAGACTGTTTGGGGTTCTAGCAGAGTTTTCAAAATTCCTTATTTCTTCTGTGCTGCTTCAGACATTGCCTCCTGCTCACATCCTCAAAAATCTGGTTTCTTTGAGGGGCAGGCTAAGGATGACAGCCATCAGTAAAAGCTTCCAAAATGCTGTGGGGTTGTTTTCTCTCTTTTAAAATAAGGAAAATAGGACGATCCATAAAATCTTTAGTCTCATTATCCCCATAGTTAATTGCACTGAAATAACTTATTATTATTATTATTATTATTATTATTTCCCACCCACCAGAACGTTTTAGATCTTTGTATAGGAGGGGTAGATAAGAAAGAGACATGCAAACCCCAACATGATTCAGTAAATTATAGTTTTAATGTTGACACAAGGAACTTGTGCAACGTTTCCCAGCAAGCAAGCAATCAGGCTACCTGAAAAACAAGTCCTACTTTGAGGTCTCCAATATTCAATAAACAAGACACTTTGTCAACATACAACAAGGTTTTACAGAAAGAACAAAAGCAAGACAAGGACAATGCAGACAAAGGGATTATCAATACATTATAGGCATATTCTTCTGATACAATTTTTTCCCCTGGTGATCAGTACAGGAAAACAGGTGCATCAGCAGCTCATAAAACTGAAATATAAATCCTGCTATTAAGCATATCTGACAAGGAAATTGATGGAGTCAAATCTCCTGTAGTTACACGATGCGTGTCACATGGCAGTTGTCGGTGTCATCCAGAAATAGGGTGCTGAAGACATCATTAAAAAAGGTAGGGTGGTATTTGCAGGCTCTGTCACAGTCAGGGTTAAAGTTCAGCTCCAAGATCTGAGGCTGCATAATTCTTTTCCCTGTCAAGGCAAAGACAAACACTGCTGCTTAATACAAGCTCTACAAAGATCCCAAATCACTATTTGTCTTTAATCCAGAAATTATGGAAAATTATTGGAAAAAGCATCTTTTGTGACCCAAACTGCCAAGCTAGTAGGGTGTTTTTGTTTCAGTGGGTTGGTTTTTATTGGAGGAACAGAAGTATGTTCTACCATCATTACCCAGAGGACAATTATCCAACAGATTCTGCAACCACTGTGCTAATTCAATGCCTCCTCTGGAATAAGAATTTGCAGCCATTCAATATGATCTCCCTGAATCAGCTGTTTTGTTTGTTTGTTTTGTTTTCAAACATCTTCAAGGAAACTCTGCTTCTCACATTTCAGTACAAACCTTGCTTTCTTAAACCTCCTAGGTATTTAGCGGTCCTGTTCCTTTAACTGCAGCCACTCCCATCTGCCACTTCATGCCACTCCTAAAGGAAGTCAGGAAATTTAATTTTCTCTTAAAACTTCATCAGCTCTGAATCAAATGCATTCTATGCAGAGAAAACCAAAGGATTTTGTTTCACGTCTGGTGTTGAGATTGTTAAGTGAGGGAACAGCCTTCTGATAGATAAGTAAATCCTACTGTGCTTTGCACAGGAGCAACAAATCTCTTTGTTCACAGGCTGCTCACAGCTTTACAGCATTGCCACTGGCATCACCCCTCACCTTCAAAAGACCAAGGACCTGTGCAGTTCATGTTCAGCCAGGCAAGTAATGTGAGGTTGGTTCTTTTACTACAGTAGTTTTCCTTAATCTGGTAATGTTTGTGAGCTGCTTTGCTTATCCCATTCAGGACACCTCTAGGACAGGTGAAAGAGGATCCAGTGTGGACATAGCAAAGCACATTCAACCTCTTGCTCCACCTCATCTAAGCAGCAAAGGCTCCATTTTATATCTTCTGTTTCTCAATTATTTCCCTCCATGAAAGCAATTCAATCTTCACAGAATCAGTCCCTGCTGCAGTGGCCATGGGGCACTCACCCAACACACATCTAATTGCTCTGCAGGCAAACTTGGGCACAGGCAATCAACTTCTCCTGTGTCCCAGAAAACCCAGTACCATGAGAAGAGTATGCTCAGCTCTCTTCAACACTCCCTGGCAGTTCTCTTTTTGTTGGTGCCTCTGCTACTTTTTTACCTCTACAAGAAACACATGTCTGGGTCAGGGACATTTACAGAACATTTCTGAGCCTCCTAGTGAGACAACAAATGATTCAGTCTATCTGGTAGACTTTGCTACCAGTCCTCCATCCTCCACAGCTGCCTGGAAGAAAGGCTTCAGGTAGGCAGCCATGCTGTGGCACTGACATGAAGAAGTCTCACTCACATGTTCTTGCAGAGACTTGGTAACAGCTGAATGTCAGCCCTGAGGACTTCAACAGCACTGAAATAGTGAATGTGGTCCCTTCCTTGCCGTAATAAGTCACAGTGCACTGAACACTGCTCCAAGCCTGAAAGCCACAGACAATTAAGATGTTTCCAAGGTTTTCATAGAGAGTTGAGTATTTCAGACATTTGTTTGGGGTTTTTGTGTATGTGGTGGTTTGACTGGATTCTTTTGGATCCCCCCCACCCCTCTGTTGTTTTGCTCTGTTTTTCTCCAAACAGAGAACAACAGCAGCAGGGAAAGAAGGATGCAGCCCAGCAGCTGGCAGCTGCATCACTCCTGTTAAGCAACAAGGCAGATGCTATCCCCATAGATTCGCAACTTCAGGTGTCAGTGGGAGGCAAGAAAACAGATTTCTGAAAAGGTCCACCAACATAAACAATTCAGCATTCAAGTAAAGAGCTTCTCACCATCTCTGCTGGTGTCCCATTTAAGCATCAAGTCAATGGCATATATTGCTCTTGAAGATGGATAATTGCAGATGCCAAGAGGGGCAGGCTTAGATGTAGCAACTTGGAACAATTCAGCAAATGTCTTAAAAATACTTGCCTAATAACAGAAAAAGCAGTGAATTCTGAATGAGCAGTGAGGTTCCATAAAAGCAACATACATGTTTCTAATCACTTCATTCATGCAGTGTTTGAAAGCGTTTGTATCAATTGCACTACACAGCAGATGAAAATTTGCACAGTACAGGCTTCCAAAATGAGCATTTAGACTTAATGCCAGCACAAAGAAAGAACTCAGCACCAGTCAATATCCATGGACTTTTCTGGGGAGCCACTGAGTACTATGGTAATCCTAAAAAGAGTGCATTTAACATTAGAATTAACCCACTTCTCAGGCATTATGCCAAATATTGCACTTATGTGTACAGGAGGGGAAAAAGAAAACCTAGGAGAGTTCTATGAAGACCAGAAGTACAATTGTGAAGTTCTTGCTTTTTTTTCCTGCCTATTCAGTTGTATTCTTGCTTTGTTTTGTTATGTTCTGCAATGAAAAATCTTGTACCTGTTCATACCCCTAAGAAACATGGGGAGGACATGGAAATTTTAAGAATGCATTACATAGGTATTTTGAAAAACAGTCAGATATCCAATCTGGAAATGAAATAAACCAGGAAGAATACAGAGATGTGAGTTTTAGCATTGAATTTATGCTGCAGTGAACCATTCCCTCTATTTTCTGTACAGTGTACTACTTTGGATAGCCTACGGGATATATTTTGATATCTCTCTTTTCACCCCTTGTAGTCTCTTTCAGACTATTTTAAACCCTGTCATATTTTGAGTATACAAGGGTCTAGTTAAAACAAATGTGAGTTGATTTAGGAAATCAAGTCACAGTTGGATAATTTATGCACTTTTGAATGAATATGCACATATAAAGGCTCAGCTATCATTCACTCTGTTTCTTCCAGCTCCTAATAAATATGGAAGAATGAAAGAATTCAGTTTTGTGCATGTTTCTGAACCAGATCTTCACATTCAGTTTTTTCTTTCAAGTATGAATCACAGGAAAAATTAAAATCAATGAGAAGGCCCTCATCTGCCTTCCTGCATGTTTTATGGAACTGTAGTATTTGGAGTTTCCTTTTTACAGTCAAAAGACGCTCTGGTATGAGAGAACCATCTGTGTTCTTGTGGAAAGTCATCTGTGCAAGGAGCAGGGACAGGGCTCTGGCAAGGCTTCTAACACAGAGAAGCTAGGGGCTGCAGCAGGAAACTCTGCACTTGAGAGTAGTCAGGGCTGGCTGTATTGCTAAGTCCAACATACAGAATTATCATAGTGTGATCGTGAAGTAAAATTCTCAAATTATAAAATACAGTCCTCAAACAATCAAGTATTTGAGGGCAAATTACACAAAGTTCTGAAGTAAAGGTTAACATATGATCTCCTTTGTGATACACATGAAATATGCCTTCTAAGAAAAAAAATCCTAACAACCCAAGACTTTTGGAAAAGCTGGTTTACTGAGTAAAAAAACCCCAAAACAGATAATGAACATTTACATGAGAAAGACGAGTTGCTGACTTACTTGTACTGTTGTCCAAGGATACTCAGGATATTGTTTTTCAAACAGAGGAATAAAGTCTTCACAGTGCACCTAAAACAGTTTAGTAACATCAAAAGCTGTCTTGGTCAGGAATTACAAGAGAATGGAACATGAAATATATTTGCAATTCATACAAATTCCCTAGTTCTCTACTTGCATTAAGACAGCTCATGAACACCTTCCTTGTTCCAGGATTTCTTGCTGTAAAAGATCATACTAAGGCTTTGACAATGACAAGCCGACATTTTTTATAGTTCTTTTGTTGTCTCTGTCAATGTGGGTTCCATTCAGAATGTAGGTTTGTATTACCTCAGATGATCACCGATGACTGGGGTAAAGAGGGGAAAGAGTCTAGGAAAGTATTTGCTTAGGACTTTGGTATTTTGAACATCCTGTTGAAGTGGATGTGAAACAGACTATTTGCTAACAGAAGGCACCAGAAAATTTTTCTACCAACAGAAAGGTGAGGGAGTGTTTCGGGCTGCTTGCTTACCTGTTTCAATGTCACACCAGGAGCATAATTCATGACAGTGAAGTGCTTCTCATAGTCATCCAAGTCATCAAGTGAAAATGCCCTAAGGAACAGAACAACTCCTCAGTTTAAGGGATCCAGTGTCAGCAGGTGCAGCCTGTGGGGGGAGGTGAGCACCTGTTGGAAAAGCGCAGCCAGAACACATTGTAGCTGTAGAGCCGCAGAGGCTGCACGGAGCGCAGCAGCACCATGTAGCGCACATCGAACTTCACCAGCCCCACGTCCTCGCGCTCAAACAGCACTGGCTCCTCGATGTATTTGCACACCACCTACAGCACAGCACGTGGAACAGCTCAGGTGAAATGCAAGCGTCACTGCACCTCAGTGACTTTAGGGCAGCCCTGCCTGCATTTCAGCTTTTCCTCAGAAAGGTGCACAAATAGACAACGTTGCTTTCTGTCACACTCTGACTACAGGGTGTGGAAACATGGAGGCCAGGACGTTCTCATTTTTAAAAATCACAGATTTCTAACTCTGGTGACCTTGCTGTTTTGCAACAATTGTGAAGCAATTCTGTGTGCATTTCTGTACCCCACAAAACACATGCAGTCAACATGTCACCAACAAATGGTGCTGAAGCAAGCTCCAGTGCTCACACACAATGAGGTACAGGTGGATGTTGCAGGCTCTCTGTAAAAAGCTCTGTAATTCATCTCTTGTTGTCAAGGGTGGTCCTTTGTGCCACTGAGCAGAGCAATAACAACTAACCAGGAGACAGAACCAATAATGTTCCCAAATTGATGAACAATGCTAACTATAGCCAGTGCGTTTGTCTGCCAGCCTGAGGACTGGCATTACAGCAGAAACATGCCGGAGTATCCCTTATTGCCAGGGCAAGTTTTATTCTTTACATAAGACAACATCAGGCTCTGAGTTCATCACTGCAACAATTGGAGTTTACCAATTTGCAACTGAATCTACTCTGAACTATATGCTTATGGCCAGCATATGAATTTTGAAGAATACATTTCCTTTGTATTTTCAGACCTCCTTCTACAAAGCAGTTTTTTCAGCTCTGCTTTTTAAATCCCATTCAAAGCTATGCCCTCTCACCTTTGGGCTGCTTTCCCTGTGCCTGATGATACTGTTCAGGTGGTTGGTGATGTGGGTATCCAGACTTCTGGCCAGGTTCCATGGTTTGCATATCCAGTGATTATCTTCTCCTCTGGGAGAGAAAGAGAGAGAGCAATACCTGTAAGTATCCACCTCACTCATCTGGCTGAATATCCATTTGGCTTGATCCACATCTTCTGAAAAAATACTTTATAAAGCTGTGGGCTACACTCCAAGAATTAAGATTTTTGCTGACAGCTGGGAGGAGTAGGTCTTAGGAATAAGGGAGAGAAAAGGCAGTGGTATCTTTCACAATTTTTTTTTTTCAGTTACGGCCTAACTTGGTCTCACTGTTTATCTCCTTCTACTGCATCTGACTCCATCAAAAGAGAAAAACAACCCATCAACAGCATCACCGTGAACATGCACAAGGAAGTCATGGTATGGAATCGTTCTGCCAGGAGCCTGAGAACACTCTGGCAGGCTAGTGTGCAATTTTCCAAGTTGGTCCCTACTGACACCTCAAAATCATTCACATTAAATGACACGAGAACTCATCTCTTTGGGAAAAAACCTCACAGTGTATCAACAGTTCACACTACAGGAAAATAAAAACACACCACCATTGTCTCACTTTCTAGCACCCAGACATCTCCTGGGGCAAAATTCTTTGAGATATCCTTGAGAAAATCCAGCAATATGCTGGTCTTTCCATCTATCTTTCCAAGTCAGGACAGGGTGATGCTATTAAAGCATCATAACGTGAGCTGAAGACAGCATTTAACTTCTGTTTTGTTTGTTTGAAAATTCCTACCACCTCCTTCCCATTAAGCTTACATACACACTGCTTGCACTGTCAGTCCTTGATGTTGAAAAGGAATTAAACCACCACACACTAGGGACAAGTGGCAGGTGTGCTCTCTTCTGGTCAATGCCAGTCCATGAGAGACTATGTATAGCAAATAATGGCCAAATGAAACACCTGGCAGGTGTCACCATAATAAGCAGGTGTCACCAAAGCAGCAACCTTTCAACCAGAGTACTCCATGCCAGACAGAAGAGCAGCAGCTAATGCTCTCTTTCTCTCTTACAAGAAGAGAAATCATAATTTCCATCCAAGGGAGCTGCAGCAGAAGAAGTGTGGATTTAAAACCCTAAAGCTCCACAACTGCTTCAGTCTAACAAAATCAAATTCTACTTTCATAACCTTACAGAACCCAAGTACTTTAAACGTTTTCCAGTCTGGCTTAAGTGCAAGAACAACTACTACTGTCCCCTGGAAAAAAAATCCCACACTTGTTGCAAACACATTTTGAGGCTTTGTATATCTGTTAAACACAAGAGGCAAGACGCTAAGAAAAGAGCAAAGGACTTCAACTATGTATTCAAGTCACAGCAAAGTTTCTGGGTTTCAAACTGCATTGCTTAACTACTCTTACCTAAAATAAAAACCTAAAAAGCCCCCACTTTTCAGGTAAAAATCACTTGAATATAAATGCAGCAAGAGCTAAATCATGGTAGTGCAACTGCTGCCAAGACTAAAATGTAGGCTCCTGGTCTTTGAGGAAAGTGAGATCAAGACAGGACAAAACCTAAGGAAGAGGAAACACACAAGTCACCTTCTGTCACGTTGCTGAAAGCAGCTGATGAACTGAGGCAATTCTGTCTGGAGGTTGAAAGTCCGAGGCAACCACCTGGGCCCATCTGGTCCTCCAGTTCGTCTAGCAATGGATGCCAAGCAGTCTTTGACAGTCAGGAGGTTCTCACATGGGAACTGATTCACCATTACCTCAGGCCTCTCCTCACTTAGCTTCCTACAAAGCAAACAAGTGCTTGGTGAAGGGGGAAGGTTGGGAAGGCCTTTGGAACACAATTTTTATACAAAAGAAGTTTAAAATGAAGTATTATCAGGGGAATAATGAATCCTATAATTAATTAACCTATAATCTTTGAAGTGTGAGAAGTTGTAGAGGATGTCTGCTTCTCCCTCATTGTCTGTGAATACAAAACGGGGATGTGCCAGGTTGTTGAGGACTTGCTGAATGTCTGTGAAAACCCTAGAAGAAAGAAGCACATGAAAGAAGAAAAATGTCAGTTTAGTTCCTGAAACGGATCAATTAATACTTGAATAGAAAAAAAAACTTTTATATTTTTCCTGTATACACTCTCTGTGACAATCTCTTCTTGATTCACAAAAACAATTTAAATTGAAGTGGGATAGATTAAAAACTTGTGAGAGATTACCTAAAAATTATCTATTTTGAGATAGTAATCTCAAAGGTAGTTTAGCTCTGACTGCTTCATAAAAATAACAGTTCAGAAGATGATGACTAAACCCCTGACACAGAAGCAGTAACATGAATTCACTGTTCTACATGAAATATCCAGAAGTGAGAGTGGCCTTGTGAATACCTGCACTCCTGAAAGAGCTCTAAAAATCAACCTGCTGTCATCCACATGAAAGAAAGTCATAGGAAATCCTGTCAGCTTAATTTTGTAGCTTCAGAAGATTATTTTTGTTTGTTCAGAACTGTAAGTAACCCAAACATATGAAAGTAGGTATATGCTGGGAATACACAAAACTTTGAGGCTTGATACAAATTCCCTCTCAACCCCATTTAAAATCACACAAAACCCCAACTCAAACCTCACAGACATTTCAGAATGTAACCAATAATGAGGTAAGTTGTTGTGTATCTTGGGAAATTTCCTTCTCAAATAAAACCAGTGACTTGGATGCTAAAATAAGCAGAGAGAAATAATGGTTATTTTGATGACTTTATAGCTGTGAGGCCACTTAATTCAGAATTCAGCATGTTAACTCAAAAAGCAAGACTGTTTTTTATATCATTCTCATGGCAAGGAGACATTTAAACAGAATAAAAAATTATTAATTTTTTCCACGAGAAACTACTGTATTCTTCCTCCTCTCCAGGTCTATTCTTATCAGTTGTAGAACTTTCCTCTCCTCCTCCACTACTAACCAATTGGAAAATACATTCCCCTGAGAGACACTTCTCTAAAAAGATGAACTGTAGAAATAGTTCAGTCACAGGGGAAAATAAATTCTTTAAAAAACAAAGTATGTAAGGTACTTTGCATAGCTCCATGTGTGAGACATTACAATAGTTATACTATTTATGCTGAAGCTGATAATTGAGAGAGACGACTTCACTCTGGATGAAGGGAATCAGCCTGTTGAAAGAAGCCACCAGTTCTTCCTCATTGCTCCAACAGAACAAAATTAGTATTTCCACAGAGTCCCACTAGCATTTCTTCCTGAAATTTGTGGCTTCTTGGCTTCTCCTTTTAAGTCTGCACACCAGGGGAAAGTGTAATACCAAATGTGGTGTACTGGATCCACTACAAGTGTTGCCAAACCTACAAGCTCCCCTAACAGCCACAGGTTTGGAGCAACTGTTAGTCCTTGCTGGAGCAAGAGGAAATCAAAGTTTAGCTGACCTAAAGATAAAAGGCCAATTATATAATGCTGTAACAAAGCCCTGAAGCATCCAAAATCTCCACAGAAATAGGCAAGAAAGAACACACGCAGCGCAAGAACTACTAAAACCGAAGTTGTTCATAAAGTACCAAATTGGTTCCTTACAAACACCCTACAAGTCACCATCCTGCAAAGATCCAGTGCCAGAGCACTCAGGATTATGTATTTGAAGACTTGCTTAAAATGCAGCACAAAAGAAATAGGGGAGCTCAATTTAGCTTTAAGTGCAGGAACATCATTGCAATAAGACGAGGGAGGTTAAGACTGGAGAGGAAATAAGGTAATTTCATTTGTTCTAAGGTAATATACTGATAATACGACAAAAAGATGCAGACAGGTAAGGAAGTCTCATTCTGGCTTTGGCAGAGGGCAGAACATCTCCACTGCAATCTTGTATTATCAGCCAAGCTATTTTGGACCTTTCAGTCCAGTATCAGTGATACACTGAACTGATGAAGCCAGCTAACCATACCTTCCCCTGGTCTCACTGAAGTCCTGGTAGGGATGCTATGAAGTCTGGGATTAAAGATGACATTCAGTGAAATGATAAAAGGAAGACAAATAGGTTTAGATGTTACTTAACTTTAAACTCAAAATATTTAAAGCCAAGAAGCAGTTATGAGAACCAACTCCCACAGCACAGAGCTGAGAAGACCAACCAAAACAAAGCGTTGCCTCATAACAGCTCTTTGGACATTTTAAAATAGTAACTGATGTAGCTGAAGAGAAACATGAAAGAGGAGATCAAAAGAAACAGAGATGATCAAGCCCAACACAAATTGGAAAGACTTTTCCTAATAAATCCGTCTTTGAAGCATTTAGTTATTTGATTCTTTTTTTCCATTCAGCAGTCAGCACAGCTGGATAGAACAATCACCCAAGGGCAGCAGTTACTATGCTACAAGACCTAATTAAACCTATAATTTTGCTGTATCAAAGTACTTGTACTCCCTCCCCTGCTTTTCAGGGTTCAGGTTAAACATTTATTTGCTCTTCCACTCTCTGTTTTAACTCTGCTTGGATAAAGGATGACTAAGAGTTTGTTCCAGGTTCTAAACTTTGCAACTTGAATTTCTCTTGAATCCTCTAAAACAGCAGCAATCCACAAAGGAGAGCAAAAACATTATTAACAGGCTACACCCATCTACCCAGCTCCACATGTTCCCATCTGTCTGCCCAAGGTGACAGCCCGAAAACCTTTAGAGAAGGCCAAGAGCACTGGAAGGCTGCAGCTCCCACTCAAGTCATCTGGACTCTCAGATGCTGCTGCTCTACCTGTGGAGGAACATTAGTACACAAAATTCAGAGCATGAGAAAGACCTTACAGCCTTCTGTCCAGATATAAACAAGATAAAGGAAAAGAGAGGGAAGTCCTTAAGAGTACATTGACTGGGTGTGGATTACATTTCTTAGAAGAAGAGCAGGAAGAATTTTATGTGTGTCCCCCTCCTTCCTTGCCTAATGTGAATGCCATTCATTTGAAATGTAAGATACAAACTAAAGAGGTAAGGAGTGAAAAATATATCAGTGTTTCCCAACATCCTCAGTATTGCTTTCTGCCTCTATGAGAATGTATCTGCCTTTGACTCCTGTATCTGAGTACATCAGACAAAAAATATCAGCTTTTGCTTATCCTCACAGTCATGTAACCAGAGATTTCAACTACAAATAGAACCTTGACTACCACTGGGCAAGTTAACAAATGCCTCTCCACAAGAAGTAACTTGCTTTTCAGTAGTTCTTCTCAAGTAAAGTTCATCCAGGGAGTAACAAATCAACACAAGAAGCTGGTGTGTGAGTCCACCTACCAAATACATTTTAGTGCAACTTTACCATTTAAGCAAAAGGTTTCAAGCAAGAACTGTGATCCCAGTGTCAGCCTACGAACACCCCAGAAGTGCAACTCACAGCACATGCTACGCAATGGTTTGTTCTTCTGGAATAAAACCAGTAACAAGGCAGCCTGGCCATGTAGCACCACTGGTTTTGCTCAAAAAAAAATCCCTTATCTTTGCAATGTTCTTCCAGCTTTCTTCTGAAATGGTTTCACAGCATACGGCCCATTTTTGTAGCAAACACATGTCCAATTTAAAACATCTCAGGTTTTTATAGGATTCCTGTTTGGCAATGCCATCTGAACAAGGGGAATAGTCCGTTATCTACACAGCACAGAGCAATCCCTATAGACATACATGCTATAATGCAGAAGACAAGTCTTTAGTGCCTCTTCTACACCTTAAAACATACTTAGTGAAAACAACACTGTGTAAATTAGTGCTAAAATATGATGCAACTTTTCTTTCACCCAGAACGTGGCACTTACTAAAAAAATAAACAAAAAACCAAAGTAAATTTATTTTTTAGAAATTGCGTAAGTGACAATTCATCCACTTTGAAGAATACATCCAACAGGAGCAACTAATAAGTCAGAATTTTAGGCAAGTGGCTCCATATAAACCCATCTTTAACTTGCCTCTGTTGGTCAAAGATGGAAAAGGCTGTTCAGCCAGAACACACTGCAATTACAGCACATAATCGTGGTAAGAAAACATTTTGTTTGTGGATACGTACTTGAAAACTTTGTCTTTGGCATAAACGGGTGGATTTATCGCTACAGGAAGTTTTTCCTTGTTTTCTGCTAAAATTGCCTAGAAAACAGAAAACCACAAAAAGTTAATTCTAAGCAGAATGGATGAGTCCACTGCATGTCTTACTCCATTCTCTTTGGTGCAAGTGAATTTCAGTAAAGTTACATTTTGACAATTCTATTAGGTTGTGTACTAAGTACAGAAAAAAAAAATCAGTACAAGAGCAGAGGCAGAAGGAAATCCTAACAGTAAAAAGTAAGAAATAAGGCTTCAAGACCAGGGCACATCAACACTGCTGTATGACCCTGAGAAATTCTTGTCTCCTAAACATGAAAAAAAAAAATCCTCAAATCACAGCCAACCATATACAATAGAAGACAAAGCTGTTTTATTTCCAGCAAACTGGAAGACTGACCATTTAGTTGTGATACTTTGTTACAGATGACTAAAAAAAAATTAGAGGACATTGGAAGCCAATTCTGCTCATGTGAAAATGAGCAAAATGTTTTTTGCAGTCTTCAGCAGTAACCATGCCTGCAAAGTCTCTCTCCATCCTGTACAGCCCCCCTCTGACTGCTAAAAGGAAATACACTTCTGCATCACTGCTGATGCTCTGCAAAAGGAAGCAGCTCTCAGAAACTCTTGGACATGAGAAGTGCATCTCGATAAGGAAAAGCAGCTGCTGCTGGTACAACAGCTCTTTGAATTCCAGTTGATCCAGACTGTCATAAGTTGCAGTGAGGTGTCTGTCTGTCCAGCCACAGATGCACATCTTCACCTTTAAGGCTGGTATAGCAATGAAATCCTACATAAGTGGAAAGACAAACAAAACCACAACGGTAATGAAAGATCTTAGACATCACTTAAAACAGATTGGGCAGGACAAGTACAAAATAACTCTTGTAGTCACTCCAGAAAAAGAAAGGAGCCTGTACTTTTATGGTGAGAAGAATACAATTCTCAGAACAGTTCCAGAGGATGCATTACTGTGTTTTTTGCATCTCGAACCCAGGGAGCTGTTGAAATCTCCCTAGTCCCATGAGATACTTCCTCCATCCCAGACATTTCATTAGAAGCTGCCTCCCCTGACACTTCTTTCTGCAATCATTGCCTTACCATCACCCACCATATCATCTAAGTTACAGTCTTTGTGGTCTGTGTTGGAAACCAGAATTAGATAACAGAATAAAAAATAGGTAATAAAAAGTTAAGTCAGAATGTTGCTGTCACAACTCTCTCATTATTTTACATATAATGAGAACTGTCAACAACATGGTATCTCTTTCTAGCTGTGTCACCTTTGGTGTCTAGGGATGTGGCATGCCCTGAGCTACTCCTCACTGGTCTGTCACCAGCTGTGACTCACTCCAGTGAGGAGTAGCTCAGGGACTTTCTGTTACTCTAGAATCTAGCAGTAGATGAAAGTTCTGTTGGTTGGTTCTAGCATCAGTAGAGCTCTCATCTCTCCTCAACAGCTGAGTGGCAGAAACAGTTTTAAAAAAAAGCTACGTTGAAAAAATGTTTTTAAGGCAGAATGGTAAAGGAGGATACTGGACTCATTTTCCACACGCAGTTCTTTAACTTGACCTGATCATACCAAAACAGAATTAAAACATGCAAAAGTTGCCTTCTCTGAGACCAAGGCACTTTTGCCAAGAGAATACATATAAGACAAACTCTGGGTGCATTACTGCTCCTCTGTTAATGCAAAGTACAGCTCTTCCAAAAATGCAAAATCCCAACCAACCAATCTGCCTTAGGTTACAAGACAGCCTAGCTATTATGAGTATACAACTTTATTTAACTTCACTTCTGACTAGATATTGTTAATAACAAGCTGGATAGAGCATTTTCTGCCTCTCATTCACCATAAAGAAACAGAGAGTTGGGGTATAGAAGCTATATTTTGAATGCTGTTAGTAGACAGTACAGCATCCTCACAGGCATCAGTTTCCTCATTTTTCTAATAAGTGAATCTCATGTAGACATTGTTCATGACAAGGAGATTCCAAATATTCATTTCACATCCTTAAAACACTCCTAACATTTATAAGAAAGGAAACAAACTGAATGAGTACTTTAGAAGAATGCCATCAAATTAAAAATGTTTCTGCCCCAATATTTAATGGCTCTAAACTACAACATAGCCTAGCATCCAGTCTGAAAAATTCAACTTTTCTTAAAATAATAAAACAAATCTTTCTGTAATTCAAGACTGAACAGCAACGCTACAATAACAAATTCAATTAATAAGCCTATTGGGCAATGTATCAAACATCTACCTGGAAGATGGATGCCTCATATGAAGTACCTTGTAGTGTGTTTACAAAAATAGCCATGCAATACAGCATAAAATATTAAAACTCATTTATGTTGCTCCAGTATTTAAATACTTAGATATTACATACAAGACATTTCTTACTTAGATATTACATACAAGACATTTCTTGTTTCACTGTGCTTTGAATTGGGTTTTTTTTTTTTTTTAATTTTAATAGCTGTCCTCTGAATCAGTCTTTAAAAAGAAGCAAAATCAGAATTCTTGCAATGCTTTTCTAGACACTGCCTCCTCTTAAAAAAGATATGGAATTAACTTGTCAAAATCATACCTGGTAATACTCATCTGGTGGCTCTGGAGTAGAACAGCTGACATCCAACACTTCAGCAGGCACCCAGGGTAACAAAACACACTTCCTGATCAGGCGATCCGTCTCCCCATAAGCATAATCACGAGTGACTTCATCTGCAGCAAAACCAGGAGAACCTTTACGAACTGCCTTTCATTTCCCACTGAAAATCCTCAAATGACAGCTGTACAGTCAATAACAGCACAACTTTTGTTATTTAAATGAAAAATTAGAGATAATTAAAGAAACGTGATAAAAGAAGTATTATTTAGGATGTTTATCTTCTCCACGTGATGGAGGCATAGGGTGGCCCCTGAAATATATATGGAATGGAATAAATATATATGGATGGAATAATCATTGGCCTGGTGTTTCCCAACTTTCAGAGCCTGACTTTCTGACTCAAAGCTACAAACACAGATTTTAAGGGATTTTTTTTAAAGTCCTCAGATGACTGAATTTGCAGTTTCACTAAGGTTGTAAGATTTAAATTCTCTGTCAACAAAACAATAGCAAAATTTTTGGACTAGTAAAAAGTCTCTATCCTAAAATACAGAAATAACAGACAGAGAGAACTTTTATATTTGACAGTGTAAAAAGAATGCAGCCATTTTGATCTTGAAACATTTGTTCTACTGTGAAATGTTCAATGATTTTGTAAGAACAGGCCGATTTTCTATTGCAAGCTTTAAAGAAAACCCCAGCTCCTCAGATACACACTTACCACCAGTTTCAAGGTCTCTCAAAGGCCAGAGAACCGTGTAAGCAATTTGCTGAGGCATATAAAACAGAGGTGCTGCTGCAAAACTCGGCTGGTCTGAATGCTGAATGCGTGATCCAAATTCATCCATGATGTACCAGACAGGAACCTTCTCCTCTGCAGTCTGTATGAATAAACAGAGGGGGACATCTCACACACATGGACTGCAGGAAAAGCTCCGTGAGACAGAGGCACTGACAGCATTCTACTCCACTTCTCAGATTCCTGCTTCAGCCTCCTCTTTCTTGTGCTACTGCTACTGCCTACCAGACCTGCTTTCTGTGAACCAAACCAGTTGCTTAAGACAGCTAAACTAGCAGAAGGCTGCTTGGCAGGATTAGTTTTCCTTCAGTTTCTCTCAGAAGCAATCAGCTAAGAAGTGTTTGAAGTTTAAGAGTGAACGAGAGCAACACTGCCACCTGCAACAACAGCTGGCTGCAAGTGTTGAGGCTGCATCATCAAAGCGCCCACCCCTTCCTGCAACACTCTCACAAAAAAAATCCTGAATGAGAAAATAAACTTTAAATTGCTTGGTAGCACTACTGTGGCCTTTTTATGGAGGCAGAAATGGAGTAGAGACACTAGACTTAAGGTATTTCCCAGAAAAGTGAACAGAAGACAAGTTCAGCTACAGGCTGAATTAACTGTCTTCTGGAAAATCACTTTTCAAGTGGTAACACAGATAATTCCATTTCACTCACAAACTATTAATGACAAATTGAGAAACAAAGAGATAGGAGAGAAAGACTCAAAGATACTCCTCAGATTTCCCTTTAAATGAAAGGGAAAAAGGAAAACGTCACAATGAATGCCCTTCTCAGGGATTTTTCAGACCTGATTCTACTGTGAGTTAAATTTGAGCTTTAATGATAAAGATGACCAGTCCAGAGAACAATCTCAAGACCCTGAGCTAATAGGGGCAGTTTGATCATGCTCTCACTGCTCAGGACTAGCCCTGCCCATTCTGCATAAGGCTGAGGCCAAAGAATTCACCTTTCTCTTCTTTAATTCAAAAGACTCAAAAAAACATTGGAGCTCCACTGCAAACCCTACAACAGGGTTTTCACCTGCTCTCCAAGGGCTGTTGTATTCCCTCAAAAATGGCATATGTGCACTTGAAGGTGTTTAAAGGCTCAAGACATGTTGGTACAGTGCTGAAGGACTACAGAGGGCAGGGTGACCAAATCTGGTATGGTGTTAATCACACACCTTAAAAGTAGCATCTGCTCTTCTTCCAATTAGAAGGAATGCCTGTAAGGATCTCTGTTAATATTCAAGTACTGGAACATATCCACCCCAAAATTTTTAGCATCCCATACAGTCTTACACCTTGAGAGAGCTGGTAGGTCTGGCTGTACTTCCACATTTCCTGCAGCACCTGCTCGATGCTGCCCTCGTCCGGGACCTCTCCGTGGAAGGGGATGCCCATGAGGTTGGCCATCCTGTGCAGCAGGCCGGGCACGTGGCGCAGCTGGTGCCGTGCGTGCTCTGCGCGGTAGGTCCAGGCGTGGTCGATGAGGAACACGCTGCAGGAGAGTTTGGGTGGCATTACACTCCAGGGTGGTGTTACGCCCCGGGGCTCTCTCACACACAGACATATGCTCTGAACGAAAGCTGCCTTTCCCTGGAGATAGTCTGATAGCTAATCTGCTCTTAGTCACAAAGTCACTCCCTGAGCACACACTGTGGCATTGCAGGAGCAACTTTCCAGCACTCTGGTTTTGCGCTAGAAAGCTTATGGTGCATTAGTGAGCATTTCCATGAACATGAGGAGCAGATAAAGAACAGGCACTCAATTTGTGAGCTTATTCCCTTTAAAAGGCAAGAACACAAATGCCTTCCCTTTTTATCACTAATAACTCTACTGCATCAACCTGATATTCTTGCCTTAACCAGGAAAACAATGCACTGTGTTGAAAAATTACTTGAGGACATTGCTAGCCACAGGGTTTGTGACATCTACTGTCATCTGTAAAACCAGGTGGAGAAGTCTGATCATCAGAAGCCTGTATATGCTATTAAAAGAAAATGAGCAATAAGTTTTGATAGTTTCTTGATAGTTTCTATTTGTTTGGGTTTTTTTCTTTGGGTGGGGATGGGTGTCACCAAATTATTTTTAGAAAAAACTGCATTGCTTAAAAAAAATTACCATCTAACCCAAAAGAAAACCATACATATCTGGCACAGCTTCCCTTGACAAGTTTAACCCTTGTTTAGGCTGCATGACTTTTAGAAAAAAACACAGTTTTTCAAACAGAAGGGTTCTTCACATTTTGGTGATATCATCTGGCTGAACCAATACAGAGAAAAATCGGAATTCTACTTGATAGCAAAATCCCCAAACCACACAAAAACACCAAACATTTCAGACAGCTAAAAACATGTCAGCTGTCACATAGGGCAAATATGGTTGAACAATTATTGTATCCCAGATTCCACACACACATGAAACCTCATTTAATTTTAAAATTAAATACTCCAGAGAATGCTAAGGTCAAGCTCTTTCAAAATGTTAGCAAACAGCTGTGCTGGTGTTCTGCTCCCATATTCAAACACCTGAATGCTAAGAGGAAGCCCAAGATTATCACAGGATCTGGTTTTGAACTTAATAATTCAAGTGTATTCTCAGATTTAAAACGGTGACTACTTAAGTTAAGGCAGGGGTATTAAAGGCACATACCTATGAATCTTTGTTGGTTTTACTCATTAAGCTTAATTTAAATGTTTAGGTTTTGCATGTTTACCTAAGATGTAAAAAGTATGAACGGTCTCACAGAAGTTTTACAGAACTGAGCAGAATTGAATTTTGATCTCCAGCAGAGATGATTTCATCTCACTGCTTTTTATGAATGTACCCTGTTCTATGTTTGAAACCAGTAAGAACACAAAAAGCAGTACTATAATATAAAGTTGTTTCTTACACAACTTTATACTATACTTTATGCCTCCTAGTCTTACATTCATGACAGATAAGCTGATTTGTAAGCATAAGAACAGTAACTTGATACATTCAACTCCACACACATGCACACGACCTCTCTTGAATTATACTTTAGCCAACTGAAGGAAATGTAAGCCCACAGAATATTACCGTGAGTACGTTCTTGGCATGAGATTTGTGGAGATCACAAGTATTTCTTTAGTTTTTTTTTTTTTTTTTCCCACAGGCATACAGTCTTGCCGACACAAAGGTTTGCTTTATATCTGCAGAAATAATTTCAAGGTTGCTTTTTCCTTACTTTCCTCCCTGAGTTTACTAAAAACCAATTTCTAAGTATCTTCCTGCATGATTTAAAAAGGAGCCACATTAAAATATTTGTGCTCCCAGTACCCTTTGCAAGGGATGCATCTCTCCTCAAACATGAAGTTATGTCTTAGAGGTGGAAAAGAGGATTTCTGAATAGGTTGCGACAAGTCTCAAAGCAAGCTGTCATTATTATTTTAGGGTTTCACACTACCCAAAGACTGAACACTATTTTCAAAATCACAACTCACCTATCAGGATTGGAGGCTTGAAGTCCATTCTCATTTGTTACAATAACTTTGAAACAAGGTCCATTTCCAGGATTTGGTTTCTTTTTCAATTGTTCTTCCATTTCTTCATCAACTTCTTCCTCCTCATCCACCTCTTCTACTTGCATTATTCCAAAGTAGTTACCAGCATCAAATATCTGAGATGGAATGTGCACAAAATATCATGCAACTGGGTAAGGCAGCACACTGATAAGCTCAGTGAGACACCTGAGACATTTCTTCCCTGTAGTCTGGTAAGAAATGGCGTTTTTAACTTAAGAGATGAATGAACAACATTTATTTCTTCTTTCACATTTATTTATTCTTTCACATTTTAACAGAACTGTTTGTTTGGGAAGTTTCTTTAGTTAATACTGGCAGGAAGCTTTGTTGATTTCTTTGGCACCAGCAGGTCTACTAATGATTGTCTATCAGTTTAACGCCTCATTAAGAATTTTAGAGGCTGAAACCAGAATACCCTTGTTCAACCTTTGCTAAAATCAGTAATTTAAGACTTGCAAAACCGAGTGTTACCCATACTCCACAACCATACTAAAGCACATTAAAGTCCCTGAAGGAAAAGAGCTTTCCCCAATTGAGTTCTGAACCAGTTAAGAAATCTCTCCTTCCTCTCTCTTCTTTCCCTATAAAAGGAACTATCAGTGCCCACTCACCCCCAGGTAAATTGGGAGATTTCTTATACTGCTATATACAAAGTTAAGTTTCAAACACTTATGTCTACTAAGGTGCTGACAGGGGTTTGTTTACATTCTTGCCACTCTGGATGCAACAATTGCATCTAGAACATAAAAAAATGAGGGCAGTCACCACACAAGGCTCCCTTGCCAAACAGTGGGCTTGCATATCTGGCAGAACCACGACCCTGCTGACCACTTTCATCATTTCAAAGTGAACATAGGCTTTTAGGAAGACAAAAATAGGTAAAGCCTCAAAAGAAAATTTGTTGAAATTTTTCAGAGTGAATTATTTTGCTAGAATCACTCACACACTACCTAATAAAGTAGGCATGGGCAAACAAATCTTTTGCCTCAATCTAATATGACTAAAAAGAAGCAGGGAGGGAGAAAGGTCTAAAGTGTGAGCTCTTGAATTACTGGTTCAACACTCCAAATCTGCAATGGTTCAACACATAGCCTGCAATGCCACATTATTAAAAATCGTTACTTCTATATATTGACAACTTAGCTGTAAAATGCCAGTGGCAGTAACAAGCTTTCATTTGTTCATGTGAGTGTTTCTATAGGACAATTATTTTTGCTAAGCCTCAACAGGAGGGTGAGGAAATCAACTCCACAATTGTGAAGAAAGGCCACCTAGTAAAAGCAGACAGCTGCTCAAAGAGGGAGTATCCACCATTACAGGGAGGAAGTCAGCAGGAGAACAACAGCTACTTCTCATCTTAAGCCACATATCAGCCAAGTGGAGAAGTATCTGAAATTCCCTTCTGAGGAACAAGGGATGATATTTTCCTCTGGGATGGCAGAAGCCAAGGGGAGGGGGCCATGATGACATGGCAATCATAGAATGTCTTGGGTTAGAAGGGACCTTAATGATCACCTCAGTTCCATCCCTGCTGCCATGGGCAGGGATGCCTTCCAGATGCTAGTAATAGCTAACAGCTCCTTAGCACACAGCTTCTTAGCTAAATGCTAAGGAGATGCTAACAGTGTGTTGGCTAATACATACATATGCGTTTTTTTAGGGTAAAGAAAATTACTCTTCAAACAAACTTACTAGAGATTAAAACCACACCTATTAAAAAAACCAGAAACTTAGTTTCTTTCATCAGGTATCAAAATAGCAATTTCAATTTATTTATAGTTTTCCAGTTGCTAGAAGAGGATAACATTACTCAGTAGTAAGCAGTATGAAAACCTCTTGCTGTTCTCACAGTAGCCTCCAATGCGTTTTTAAGTCTCTGCATGGTTGCCTTGAAAATTCGTAGTTATTGAAGTTCATGTAGCTGCAGGCAGGTCCCAGCAAAAGCAAGAGCCCTTCCCTGTGCTCACAACTAATTCTTGTCAGATTGGCTCCCATCTGGGCGAGCTCCCTGGCCTGGTTTAGGGCACAAATGCTAATCTCAGCCCATGGCAACCAGCAAAAGCAGTGTGCCAGGAAACACATTCCACTCTTCCCTGAAGTGACACTTCAGTGCTCCTGCCTGGATCAAGGGCCATCCTCAACAACATCCTCATTAGCCAGCAAAGAAGCGACAGACAAGTGACTGGGAGTCATCAGAAAATGGAAAGTGTAAGTGTGACTCAGGGGAGCCACTTGACATGTGCTGCAGCGTGGCACTGCCTGTGTTTTCCACAGTGGCTTTTCTCTTAAGAAGTTTTGTGAGAGGGATAGGCCAGCCAGTGGTTGACTCAGCTTTAGCCTTCCCTCAGGACAGGCTCCACCCATTTACCAAACACCCACAATGAATACCAAGTTCCTCCACAACACTAAGGGGAAGCTGTTGCATTTTTATTTTATTTTATTTTTTGTATTAAGTATCATCTCAAGACTGAAAAATGAAGGGATTCCAAATGCCCTAAGCCAAAGTTCTGGTCTTTCCCTCTGACAAATTATCAGATACCAAAGGCTGTAGCAGTTGCATTCAGCAAAAAATCTCCACTTTCAATACCTTTACAAAATTACACTTAATGAAAAATTTCTCCTAGAGAATTTGTAACCTTGTAAAAGTGAACTATGTGTATTCCTCACCCAAAGCAAATCACACTTCTTTCAGCAGCAGCACCTCAAGACCACCTTAATCAGTGGCTTTTTGTGAGGGTTTTGTTGTTTTTTAAACTCATAATTGATAGTACAAGCAGTTCAACAGTTCACTGATGGGTTTGGCAGAAGCACATCGTTGTCAGTGTGGATACACAGACAGTTTTATGTCTCCTCCCTTCCTTCCTCCCTCTGAGCCAGGCTGTCACACTGAACCTAGTAACACAGCAGCTCCATTAAGGGAACCTTAAGTAAGCGCCTTAAGCAAGAACCAGCTGGATAAGATCACAAAACCAATCTGAAAAGTCATCTCTGGCTTGAAGCAGAACTGGGAGAGCTCACATTAAGTATTCCGCCAGTGCAATCAATAACCTCTAGACAGCAAAAGGGTACCAACATATTCCAGTGGCACAACTGCTTGCAAGCAAAACATGTTTGGGCAAAATCCTACCCTCTTCATGTTCAGGCACAGCTACCACCTAACCAACCCCAGCAAACCAGAGAACTTGATACCAAAGCAGGCACATATCATGATAATTACCACAAAGACACGTTCAGCAAATTCTTTTAAGGCACACTGAAAACTGCTTTGAAGGGCACAGGTAACCTCTGAGCAACTGGCTGCCCTCCACTGCTCTGGAAAATAAAATCCAGCAGTATTATCATGCTGCATTCCTTCCAGAAATTAATTAAGAGCCTCCATTTCTAACTGGCATGAAACTCTAAGCAGTCTTTAGCCAGAAACATCTGAGGGCTACAAAAATCTTCCTGCAATACAGAGAAGGCTGCAAAATAACTTAGTGTATGGCTGGAATAGAAAAAGAAAAGATTATTAATAAAATTAGATGCAGGCACTGTATTTTCCACACTTATAAACATACTATACACAATTTATCCAAGAGCGTAAGAAGCAACCACTACACTAGAAATAAAATTTTAGCACTTATAGTGAATGATTACACATGCATGGATTTTATTTTTCAAGTTTCTGCCAGAAACACAAAAAGAATTTCCTCCCAACAGACACTGAATGCTAAATGCAAAACGAATAAATAAAGGCAAGTTTACCAATCTAGCAGTTATACCATGTTTTGAATGAGCAATCCAATTGCATAATGCTCTCAGAAGGAAACCTGCTCCAGCAGATCCCAAGGTAAATTAAAAAAAAACCAACCCAAACCCTCCCCTTCTCACAGGCTTTGGTGTACACAGCGGAGGGAGGGTGCATTCACTCTGTATGTTGAAATACATATGACAGTGTTGGAAAACAGCTGCTCGGGCTGGGTTCTAGAGGTATTGATGCAAGAGATATTTTTATCTGTTTTACAGATGCAAATTTTTCAAGTTCTATGCTAGAAAGTTTTAATCTTTGCAGCACGTTAGGACAAATGAAAAATTCCTCCCATTTAAGACATGTAACAAAGAAACTTATCCTATGCTCTACATTGCCCTGGGGTTTTGCCCCCTGAGTTATACTTTATTACCTAGATTCCCAATACCATTTCACCCCTTCCCCTCACCTCCTTTTCCTTCTTTACTGCTGCTCCTCCAGCCATTCTGCAATTCTAAGTAAGGTCCTGTAGCTCTGTCTCTACCTCCTCAAGAGGTTATCCCAGTCCACAGCACTCTTCATAGTAACTTTTCCTGGACATCCCAATTTTCTCAATATCCTTTTGCCCTTCTTCTGGGCAAAAACCAGAAGCTGCAGCAGTAGAGACAAGCACTCTCAGCAGCTTGCTTTATCTTCCAAAGCTCACTGAAATAATTAAATCTCTTTTTTCACACACACTGGGACCTTGAGTGCAGAAAAGCCTGCTCAGCCACTACTGCAAGTAAAAGGAAGCAGCAGGAGCAGTCTGCTGCCTTAGGGCACGTGCTTTCTTCCTTCTGCCTTTCCTCATCTCAGCCTCCGCAAAAACATCAGCACCACGGATCTCTTCTCACTCTATGGTTTTACCCTCTCATATTACACCCTTCCAGCAAAGCTGCTAACAAGCAAGGATTTCAGCCACAAGTCACAAATCTCAAGCCTGCATTAGGTCACAGCACAGATTCAGTTTGCTACCTCCAGCTCCATACTGGCACGTGGAAACATAACAGCTTTGTGTTTAACAGCTCAACACTGGGTTTCCTTGGCAGCTTTATACTGCCTTCTGTTCCACTCTCTTCCAGGACATCCCTTCTCATATCCTCCTACCTAAGCAGAGCAGCAGATACTCCTGCTCCAAGTTCCTTCCATGAATACTTACTGAGGAAGGTGCAATTCCGCAATTTGTGACCGGGCATATGCTTGAGATAGTATTAGATTTTCTGTAATCTTCTCTGTAATAAACACATATTCCTGTTATTAACACTACCACACAACAGACTGAAAGCAGCAGGAACATACTCAGACCTTTCCTGACTATAAACACTCGTATCATGACTTGCAATGCTTTTCTCTTGTTCCTACTTTGAAGCTGAGATGGGGAAAAGAAGCATTCAGGTAATTTGAAATTACTTTACCCGTACTGGATGTTAAACGGCAATTCCCTCACCTTCCCTACCATCCTATACTACCAGTTCAAACTTCTCACCCCATCTCACCCATTTCTTCACTGCTTATCCTGCCTTCCAGCAAACCTCCATTAGTTGCTTTCTGCCGTTATCACATCTCTTTCTCTCCCCAGAACTAGAAGTTCACCTCATTCATATTTTCTTCTCCAGGTCGACTCCTCCAGACTCCCTCAAGCACTCTCAATTATCCAGATGAACGGTTTTGCGTTATGTCTCTTTCCTGCCTCAGATCCTTATTCCTTTACCCCCACAAATCAAAGACAGCTCTCCTGATCACTGAGGCTGGGCTGCAGATGTACAAACTGAAAAAAAAAAAAAAGTCTAAATACAACCCGTGTCTTTACAATCTGTTTAAAATCACTCCTTTTCTTGTCTTTGTTTCTCTTCCCTTTCTCATCACAAAGCTCTAGGAAGCAAGCAGATGGTTGTTACAAAGGTGAAAAGGGATACTCCACCAGGAGTCAGCTTCATCCGAAGAAAACTGCCCAAGCCAGGTAACTCATGCACACATGAGATGAGCTGGCCGAGCTCCGCACAGTTATAAGTGGCTGACCGCAGGGCAGATCTGTGTGGAAGTGAACTGAAAAAAAATTAAAAATCAGGCAAAAGCCAATCCAAATCATAGTGGATTAAGATATGACAACATCCTGAGTCTAATACTACTATCGTTGCTGTTTTTTCTTAATTCTCTCTAGCATAAAAAGCTGAAGGGCTGAGGACACTGTCCTGCATTTGCCTGGGACAGATATAATTTTTTTCTTTGAAGCTGGTAGAGTGCTGTGGTTTTTTTCGATTCATAATCTCTCTCCAATATTATGTCTCCAGTTACCAGGCTTTCCAAACGCTTCCAAACTTCACGCTGACAACAAAAAGACGAAATCAGATATGCACAAAACACCTGACGTCTTTTACAGATCCGAGGCGCAGTCTCGGTAACACAACCCGCACCGTGCCTTTTCCACTATCCCTTGCTAAGCAACACCGTGACTCTCCTCTCTCCCTCACCCAGGGCTACAGGGGCTGCCCTCAGCACGGCTCTCCACAGCCACTCCCACGGCCTCCGCTCGCCCCCATCTCGGGGCTGCTCCCTCAGCGCCGCTCTCCCCCGGCTCGGAGCTGCTCCCTCAGCGCCGCTCTCCCCCGGCTCGGAGCTGCTCCCTCAGCGCCGCTCTCCCCCGGCTCGGGGCTGCCCCCTCAGCGCCGCTCTCCCGTGCGGAGCCGCCCCCAGCACCGCTCACCCACCTCTCCGCGCAGTTTGCGGCTCAGGCTCTCCCAGTATTGCGTGGGGACCCGCGATGCGCGGAGCGCGGCCCCGTGCAGGGCCACGAAGGCCGCCAGAGCCTCCTCGCCCTCTCCCGCCATGGCCGGGCCGGAACGCGCCGGGCGGGGCTGAGGGCGGACGGGGAGGCGGGAGCGACGCTCGGGGCGTTCCCGGAGCCGCGGCGGGTTTGGCTCTGGAGCGGGGTGAGGGCCGTGGGCTCGGAGCGCGCAGGGGCGTTTTCAGACACCTCGGAGGAGAAGCGCCCGGAGGAGGCTTCAGTCTGCTGAGCAGATGCGGGTTCTGCTTTTCTTTTGTTCTTCTTCTGCCCTTGAGCGTTAATAAAATTCACAGTGTTCGTGGTGCAGTGCTGGCCACAAGATGTTTTTTATTTCCCCGATGTTTTAGGGACTCTTCTGGAAGGCCCCAGCCATAACCCCTGAAGTGGGTTACGGTGGGGTGTGAGGCATGGCAAGCACTGATTGCTGGCCACAGCAGTGGGAATTGCTCTCTGAGTTGTGATGCTCAGGAAAAACATAAGTGTCAGTCATTTATTGAATTAAAGCTTTTTTTATTTTGAACACTGACAAGGAAATTTTAACATGTAGGTCTGTCTTAAACATCTGTCAGTACAAGAGGGAATGTGTTTCTTGCAAGCACCTGTAGCTGCACCTGGGAGTGCTGGCTTCCCAGTTCTTTCATTGGATGGTTTAGAAGACATTTCCGAGAAAATCTCTTCCTTCCAAGATTCTGTGGGGAATAGCCTAAACCAGTTTAACCTGAGGCTTTTTAAACATTACTGGTAGCTTTGGTCTTGCCTCAGGTATGGTTATAAAGCTCCAAGAGTAAAGCCAGGTGTCTGACACTGCTCAGAGCACAGGTCAGGACTTTGCTGTGCCCACTGCTGCTGCTGGGAGCACCCAGATCACTCCCTCTGCAGATTATCTGCTCCACAGACCGTGGAAATGCCCTTTCCTGCCAGCCCATCCTCAACTCAAGGAATCGACTTCAGTGCTGCTTGGGCTGGCAGCGCACCACTGTGCTGTGAGGAGCATCCTACAGCCCTGGAAATAGCCAAGTTCAAGAAATCTGATCTAGTGGCTGGTCAAGAAAGCTTCACTTTCACAGACTACAGTGAGTGAAGAATGTGCCATGTTGAAGAAATACCTCTTTGCTCTCTGCCCTGTCTAGTGTTGCTGGACTGGTGTCCTCTGTAACTACCCAAGAGTAGCAACAATCTCTTTCTCCACATAATCACAGAATTATTCAGGAGGAAGGTCTATAAACCAAAAGGCTACAATAGGTTGGCCGGGCAGAGAGAGAGTAGAAAAAGATTATAAATGGTGCCTACGTGCTGTAACAATACATCAGCACTCAGCAGCTGAGGATCTAACTCAAACCTCCAGGCTGGATATCTGAATAGTAAATGCAGGCAAATTTTCCTCTTTGCCTGAGACTGTCTGCCTCACCATGTGCTGTGTTCCCACATTTCCTCAGCATAAAGGCCCCACTAGGATGTCTCTAAGGAGACTTCCCTGATTAAGCAGCAGAAGATCAATAAATAGTTGGATTTCCAGTGTTCCCTGACTGTGTTCCCACCCTGCTACCCTGAATTTGAGCATATTTTTTGCTAATATTGTGGTTTGGGAAAAGAGGATGGCTGTGATGTTGATCTTGCCCCTAGTATTGTAAAATGTGGAAGTTTGACCACTTACTAGTAGTCCTCCTGAGGACCTTGCTTACTGAAAAGACCACCCTTTCCTCACTTCTGCCTTTGTCATGTTACGTAGTTAAATCTTTTGCTTACCTTAAAAAAACCCCAGTATTTTTCTTTAAGCAGACCAAGGAGGAAAAGTTTAGGGTGTCTTCATGTCTTTTTTCAGTAGTGCCACAGTGATCATGCCCCTTCCAGAGGCAAGGGGAATGTGATCCTGTTCAAATATGAGATTTACATAATTCTTTTTCTCACCAAGTGTAGGCAGCTGCCTTCTCACTGCTTGTTTGCATTTCCACATCACTTTGCATGGGAGCTGTGGCTGCTGGCTGGCTGTTTGGATGAGTTTGCAGGTCTGGGGGCTGCTGCTGATAAACTCCAAGTAATAAATAAGACACAGTGAGAATTACTGATGGCAAGAATAGACTGTAAATGGGCTCTTCCCTGACTTTTGTCCAGAACTTACCTAAATATGGTCTTGCTCAGCTGCTGTGCTTGGCAGCTTGTTTTACTTTTTTTGCTGTTTTTTCTCAACAGCAGTAATTCCTGGAGCAGGGATCGGGGACCAGCACTCACAATTGTCCTACCACTGCTTCAAGCACAGTGAGGCTTTCAGGAGCCTGCTGTGATGGATGCCAGAGCCACAGCCCAGTACTGTTGTGGTGCACCAGTTTAGTTGTTCTCTTGCACTGGGAATTTGCACAGAATAGTTTTGTATTGCACTGTATAGCTTATGTTACATCATGTGGTTTGTTACCCCCTTCCCCTATCACATGGTCTTTCCCTCACCTATCCCGGTACCCCCTGGTGGTCTCTTCCCTGGGTCACCCCTCCCCTCGCCTCTCCTCACTGGTATCCCATTGGCTGTGGATCTCTCCCTCTGTCCCCGTTCCCCCTGGGGTATAAAAGCTCCCTGCCGCCAGGGAATGCCCTCTTTCCTCCCATGGGTTTGTCCGCCTGATGTGTCTCTTGGAATAAAGGACAACATTTCCCACGTGGAGAAGAGCACTTCTCAATCTTTTACCTTCGTCTATGAAGTATCGTGTGGGCAAGGGTCTGTAGCTAGCCAGAGTGGACCCCAACAGCCCAGAAAACTCGATTCTTCACAGTACCACTGCTAGCTTCTCATGAAAGCAGATGTTTGTGGACAGTCTTTGTAAAGAAAAGTCACTAAAGTATCTTATTCTGATTGTTTCCTTAAGAAGAGTGGCTGATTCACAGTGCCTGAACAGTGCAGCCCTTACTCAGGCAATGTGCTTGTTAAATTTAATGGATTACTTTACATAGGAATTCACAGAGAATGCAAAAAGGTCCCAGCAAGGCTGAGCTTACTAGCACTACCCCAGTCTAAAATAAGAGGATTTAGCCTTCTAGCACTATCCATAGGAAGCCAACCCATGAAGCCCTCAAGCCTCTCTGCCACAGTAGACTCCATGACTTATCCACCACCACCACATTTAGTTCCTACCTTGCAGCTGTCTGCAGCAGAAACTTATCATGAGTTAGCATATGTGAAGTAGCATTTGTCCCTAGCTAATACAGCTAGAGTTTTTCAAAGTTTTGTGAGTCTGGCAGTTTGTGGCTTTATTCCAAATGTTTATGGCTGTCTCATCCAAGTAGATCTGATGTGCATTCCCCACTTCATATTCCAGTTGTTTAATGTTAGAACCTTCCTCTTTGCCAACATGGCATGGAAACCTCCTTAAGAGTGGTAAGGATATAAGGGGCAGAAGAGACCTTAACATCACAGTGAAAAGGAGATGAAGGGACATATTTTTGGTGCACTTTAAAAGAAAGCCTGTAATATGTTTTAAAATAAACCATTTGCTTTCAAGTCAACAGCTTTCTCAATGGTAAAACTAGAACTTCAGAGAGTGGAAAGCTGTGTTAGGGGCTTAGATGATAAGAACATAATTTGCTGTAAATATTTTATCATAGCAGTATATGTGAGTTTAAAACTTCAGAGAGGTTTGTAGGAAGGCTGTTTTAGAAAGGGAAACTGTATTCTGCATCAATAAAGCAGTCATTGTGTATAACGTTTGCCTGTTTGCTTTGTTCAGGTAAAACTTCTGGCAAGATTTTGTAACACCCACCTGCCAGCTGGAGTCTGCATGAAGTCTGTCCCATATCTTGGCTGCCCTGGGACAGTGGGGCTATGCTATCCTGTTGTGTGGCTGGATGGTCACCTGAGTGAGGAGGGTAACCCATGTTTCCATCCTGCAATGGGTGCCCAATGTAAGCGTGTGAAGAAACGTGTTTCCTGGGCTGGAGGGGTCCACTCTGGCTCGCTATGGACCCTTGCCCACACGATACTTCATAGACGAAGGTAAAAGATTGAGAAGTGCTCTTCTCCACGTGGGAAATGTTGTCCTTTATTCCAAGAGACACATCAGGCGGACAAACCCATGGGAGAAAAGAGGGCGTTCCCTGGCAGCAGGGAGCTTTTATACCCCAGGGGGAACGGGGACAGAGGGAGAGTCCACAGCCAATGGATACCAGTGAGGAGTGGTGAGGGGAGGGGTAACCCAGGGAAGAGACCACCAGGTGGTACCGGGATAGGTGAGGGAAAGACCATGTGATAGGGGAATGGGGTAACAAACCACATGATGTAACATAAGCTATACAGTGCAATACAAAACTATTCTGTGCAAATTCCCAATCACCCAGTGCAAGAGAACAACTAAACTGGTGCACCACAGCAAGCGTGGAGCTTGGAAAGAGCCCCAGAGAACACCTTGCAGGTGGATGGGTGATCTTAGCAGGTTGGGACTCAGCCTCCTCTCTAAGTCTGGCAAGAGACCAGTGCGTGAAGGATAATAAACCAAATGAATTGTCTGGCACAAACAATACTTCCCCTGAGTGTTTTTCCCGAAGAGACCAATTTACTGCACCCACATTATGTGCTGACATAACATACACTGACAAGTGCAGGTGTTTTACTCTCAAAGATACTCTCCCACTGCTCATACAGTTCTGGGTAGAGGGAGGCTGCCCTCATTCTGGGGGTACAACAATGAGAAAACATCTTGCCAGGCAGGTCCAAGGATCTTGTGTCCATGTAGGCAATCCAACATGCTGCCATCAGTCCTGAGGCATCCTGCTGTACCTCCACAGCAACTGCTGCAGTTTTTCACCAGCTACTTGGGTGCCTTCAAAGGCAGATCTCTGTTCTTCCCTTTCCCGTTACTTTTATAAAAGTTGGACCATTACTTAGGAATACTGTTCTACACACACAAGTGAGGTGGAGGTACTGTTATTCTACATGTTAAGAAGTGCTTTTGGAGAGTAGCATACCTCATATTTAACAGGCAAAAATAGCCAGTTATGGTGGTTGTGCAGGTTAGGCCCTTTCTGTGACACCAGGAGTCGGTTGATGTTGATTCCTGGATAAAAGAAGAATAA